CCCAAGCTAATTTGTAAATTTTTATATTTCGCGTATCGTTTAGTGTTACGATAGTTAATCCGTAGTATTATTTATTTGGTTGTACGATCTTCGGTATTTCGATATTTCTTCAGTTCAGGTGATTTGATAATCAACGGTACATTTTCCGGGCACCGTAATCTATCATTGAGCCGGATCGATCAACAAATTTTGTTCAGGTCCCATCTAAATTACTCAGAAACCAATGCAAAATCGATAAGCTTCTATTAGAGACTATTATCCTGTTCTAGAGAAAAACCTTTTCTATAACATTACTTATTGAACGAATACTAGATAAAAATATCAATTTTCTACAAATATTTTTCAAAATCAGCTGATAATTATTGCGAAACTGATTAACATCTCTAGATAAAATATTGTGTTCTGAATGTTTTTGTCAAATAACCCAAAAAAACTATTAATATCTGCCGAATAACAAAGTAAACTATTTATGCCAAATAGTCGAAATAACCTTTTTTTGCTAGAATAACTCGAGTTATTCTGTTAATTGATGAAAAGCGCAACCTTTCCTTTTTATTTTATATAAGCTTATAGTTTGGGATTTTCTTTACATAATTTTTCTCTGGGTTATCACATAATTCGTAAAATCCTAACTCATTCTAACTTTGAATTGGTACATAACCCAGTTTGCTCTGGAGTATGTTACGACCCTATCCATAGAATAAATATAAGCACAGCAGATAGGCATAATCTAATAAAGAGTAATCTTCATAAACGATTAACTCAAAAAAAAACTCTTCACACGTTCTACGACTACCTGTATCTTTAATATACATTTAACCGTTTGCCTCTTTTTTGGTAACTGCAAACTAAAATCCTCTTAACGCGTAACTGCATTTAAACATATATTTTACTTAAGCATAAACACGACATTTGTTATCAGTCGTCTAACATATCCATCACTAAGGTAAATTAGTTGTACCAAGCTTTTAAGAAGTAGCTCAGATGTAACAATATTAAATTTTTGCAGGAAAACATTAATACGCAATTTTGTAGAAAATCAATTTTTTCTCCCGATCTTTAAATTGCCCAGTGAAATTTTTTATATTAGTATTTTTTTTTTGTATGAAGAAAATCTCTAAGGTCCAGAAATTCATATCCCGGACTGTTGCAGTTATAAATTCAAAAATCTTATAGGCTATCGACCCATAATTTATTTATGGTTTATGTTAATTAGAAATTATGAAAATAAAGCTATGTATTAATTACTTGTATAATATACCCGTTTCTGCCAATAATAAATACCCAACATAATGAACAGAAGTCAAAATTTTGTTACCTATTTATTATCGTTATATTAAAGCTTTCCCTTAAAAATGTCATTCAATCAGATCGTTGATTTGTCACCGATCCTTTTCTCCAAATCTTTATCCTCTCCTCTTTACTATCAGTTTGTACTGGTATTTGATCTGACTGGTTTAACCAATTGGTAATCGAAATGACTGGAACAATCTTCTGTTAAATCATTGGATCGATCACAAGCCCTCATTCAGTTGTGCAAAGGTCGCAGCAGAATTTTCATGTTGAAGAAATAAGATCTTAAACACTATTTATATAGCCAACTAGGGTTTGGGGCACAGGGCATGCCCTTGTCATGTGAGGTTTAAAATTATTTTAAGTTTAGGTAAAACCAGAACCGTAGATACTAATTCAACATGTGAGATTTTTAGAAAGTTGCACTATATCGATATGTTAATTACAAAAGAATCACCTAAAAAAATTCATTACAAAATTTTACTTTAAGACAATTCTCGTTATAATTATAGACATGACCCTAATGTGAATTTTAAAAAATTGTCGATCAGTGAAAATCTGTCTGGTATAGTTTATAAAGCCAAAGCCAATTATAAAATTAGTATCATTTTCGGCAGATTTGAGATTAAGGAAAACCTTATTTGTAAATCTATAATGATAGGCTCAATTGCAGATCTCAAATACGTTTAAATCCATTCCTTTTTTTCTTTTCTTTTAAAAAAAATGTTAAAACTTAAACAAGATTCAAATACCGAATTTAAAAAAAGGCTTTTATTTTTTGAGAAATTGTCCGACTTAATTACCTGGGTTCCAGGTAATGATGATATTAATGTTTCTCAAGTGACACTTAAGCAACGACCTGAGTGGAAAAGAGCGAAGTCTGCAGATGAACAAAAAAGAGATTTAAGAATCAATGTTATTGATGATAACTTTGAAGGTAAGCAATAATTTATTACCGTTTTTGTTTATACTTAGTAAACTTTTTTATATATTGATTACAGAATTTCATGATTACTTCAAATTTGGTCAATATCGACTTCAATATTGGCAATTTGTGGATTCATTTGTTTAGTGAGTTTCTTATATTTTATTCTTGTAATATAATATTTTTTTCGCTAATTATAATTATATATATATATTAAAAAAAAAAATTATAAGTTTTTCTCATCATCGTGTTGAAATCCCACCTACAATGTGGGTTAATGCGGCTCATAGAAATGGTGTAAGAATTCTTGGAAATTTTCTTACAGAACGAGCATCAGGTTCTAATGATATGGAATTATTATTACGCGGACCCGATGGTCAAATCAATAAGGATGGTTTTAATCCGTTTTTTGCCGATAAACTTGGTGTGTGTTTACTTAATCTATTTTTTATTTATTATTTATTTATTCAGTCCTTTTAATCAATATTTTATATGCTTTTAAACGTAATCTAGTTCAAATGGCTGTTTATTATAAATTTGATGGGTGGTTTATTAATATTGAATCTGATTTGCTTGGAGGAGAAAGGGCTGCACGACAACTTATTCAATGGTTGAAATACTTAACTCAAGAAATGCATAAAAATGTATCGAACTCTTTGGTTATTTGGTAATGGTTTGTTAAATTATTTATTTTTATTACAGTAAATTCTCGAAATAACGGAAATGAGCATTATTTCGAAGACCAATGCGCGTCCCGAAATAACGTATATTTCATAGTAATTCTGCTCTTGCACTTTTTAACTTTCATAATAAAATACTTGTACATGACCATCGTGAAGAATCTTCACGGTTATCTTGAGAATTTACAGTATATTTTTAGTGATACGTATCACTTCACAGAAAATTATTTCACAGACTCCTTACTTAATAGACAATCAATTTATAGACAAGTTTATTTTAAATACAATTAATTCACAGATAGTTCACTTCACAGACAATTCATTTTGCAAACATTAATATCTAAGTCAATATAAAATTCTAATTATTTTAGCATTCAGTGATTGGATTTGTGATTTTTAGGCTTGTTAAAATTGTCTTATCAAGGCGGTCATTTTGGTAATTAAATTATCCAAAACGGACCACGGAATCGGGTGTTGTTCTCTTTTGAAGATTGTCTATGAATTGAACTGTCTGTGAATTAATTGTCATTAAAATAAACCTGGCTATGAATTGATTGTCTATGTAATAAGGTATCTATGAAATAATTTTCTGTAAAGTGATACGTACCCTATTTTAGCAATATCATGTTTACAAGATTCAAACTTTTCTAAATTAATAGGTATGATTCTGTAACAACCACGGGAAAAATAAGATATCAGAATATATTAAATGATAAAAATATTTCTTTTTTCAATGTGTGTGATGGGTTGTTTACCAATTATTTTTACGATAAAAATGGTCCTACATTTTCTGCTATGGCAGCTGGTCAAAGAAACCGTGATGTTTATACTGGTATTGATACTTATGGGCGTGGAACTTATGGAGGTGGAGGATTTAATACTTTTTTGGTGATTCAATCTACAAATTCCTTAATACTTTTCAAGTTTAATGCCCTTTGATTGGTTTATTAATTTGTTGATATTTATTATTCTTCATTATTTATTGTTGGATACGAGCAGGCACTAGAGGCTATTAAACATGGAAAAACTTCGGCAGGAATCTTTGCACCAGCTTGGACTTTCTTCGAAATGCCGGGTGATACTTTTGCTAATGATCGCCTGTTTTGGGTTGGTAGTCCCCCAGGTGTTGTTAGTAAGTTTTTATATGGTTATTATCAATTGAGATTTCACAGTAAAAGCGAAAGTGTTAAAGAAAGGCCATTTGTTTAATTAGATAGGCGTCCTGGTGTTGCTGATTATGTTGTTCCAAAATGTGTCCCTAAAAGTACAAGCTTCTACACAAATTTTTCTCTAGGAACTGGGCATCAATTCTTCATTGAAGGAAAAGTATGTAATTATTGTGGATTGCCTATTTATTTAATTAATTGTTATGTGGAGTGAGTCAATAGAAACCAAGCAATTTTTTTTTAGTTAAACTTTAAACAAAAACAATTTAATAACCAATCAGATTTGATAAAATTTTTTTAAATTAATCCTATAGTAAAAGTTTATAAAGTTAATTTAAAAAATCTTTTATCGAATTTGATTAAGTTGTTATTTTTATTCAAAATTATACTTTTTAAAAATTTGCTTGATTTCTATTGCTTCAACCCCATATTAATATTTATTTATCTACACATTTTTTCATAGTCAATGATAGGACTTCAAGATTGGTTTCACTTAAGTCATCAATCTATTAGTCCGAACAATTTAACATTCCAACTCCCACGTCCAAACTCTCTCTGGTGGGATTACACTTTCGATACGGCCTATAATGGTGGTACCTCATTAACTATAAATGCTAGTGGTCAACTCATTTTACCATTTGCTAAGCTTCCACTATACACAATGTCTCTACAAATCCCTCTACAAACATCGTTAAAGCTAAGTGTCACATATCTCTCAAAGCAAACAGATCTAAAATTATCTCCATATATAAAAATTGGATCGAACTCAATTAATAACTCTACTCAAGATCAAAATTTTACTACATCTGAAGGAGCCATTGTCCCAGACTCTACAAACACAGTTCAAATTGATTTGATTTCTGATTCTGGTGCCATCACATCACAATCATTTACTCCTACAAGCACGATTTCAAGGAATAATGGATGGATCACATCAGAATTCATTTTGACTCGTTCAATTTTTAGAGATAGTTCTTCAAGTACCTTAAGTAGGGATGTTGCTATTAGAAATGATTTAGTAATTCAGGAACTTGGAATTTCTTTATACAATTTAAAAAATCCTAGCTCTCATAATGTCACTAGACAATTATTAGGATATGTTGGCGAACTTTCTATCATACCTCAAAATATAATATCTGATGTAAATATAGAAATGGTCCAAAACGTTGAGTTTGAAAGAAAGATTATTGGTACACCTGATCTAGATGGCTTGAGTGATGAAGTTATTTTTGTGTGGGGAATAGTCAGATGGAACGTTATGTCCATTCCTTCTAACCAAGAATCTTCCACACACACAGACATTAATCTTGATGCCAATCTTTTAGGTGTTTCTGTCGAGAAACTAGAATTAACACCAGCTGTTACAAGTTTAGAAAATACATTTGCATATTATAATATTTACGTTGGAATGTCACCATCATCTTTGATTACGTCTCCTGATTTAAACGAGTTAACATTTTTGGGAATCTCCGATACCACACAATTCTCAATTTGTGGCTATGGTGTCATGAAAAGTGAAGTCGAGGGTGGGAATGGATTGGCAATATGGATTCAAGGGGTTTATGAAATTGATGGGAGTGGTGACGATAAAACAAAGTGGGGAATGGTTTGGGTTGATTTAAAGAATTGACAGGCATTTGTAGATTAGGTAGTATTACAGTATGTGACTGACTAAACCAACAAAATTCATAAATTTTATCAATAATATTGACATTAAGTAAAGTTTGTCAATATATATTATCATATGTTGAATATTCTATATTTTGCCTTAAGGCAATTATTTTTTATTAAATCATTTTGTTATTATACATCATGAAAGAAAAACAAATAATTTCTTCACAATAGTTTCCATTTTAAATAATTAAACACAAACCATCGTTTAAAATGACGAGTTATAAAGGGTTCGGATCTTCAATTTTTCTAAACTTACCTTGTAACCAAATTCGATACATTTGAAGTTTACGATGTCTATTAACAATTAATCTACGATCTATAGCATTCTGTTCAAGTGTAAATTTTGTACCCCATATTGTTTGTATTTCATCTAATAACAATATAAGCATTATATTTGAATTAAAGAAAAACTGAACTAAATCCTCTTAACTATGGTGTATGCAGCCTAAGACACAAAAGGTTTTAAATTTTAATAATTTTTAGGATGCTGATATTGAAAATTGATCTTATTTTCATAGTTTGATAGTAAGGCTCTACAAGTGCCTGGCACTGTTTTAATGGATCTGTATTTCATCGACAATCAATTCACCGACAGTCCATTTCACCAAGTTATTTATAAATGACCCTAACGACAATGACCAGAATTACTTTGTCAGTGAATTAATTGTCAGTAAACTAAATTTTCGATGAAATGACGCTTGCAGAACTCCACTTGACAGCTTTCGCCAAATATTATTAACTATGTAACCTTTTCTAGTATATTTAAGTTATATATATATATATATTTTTTTTTTTGCAATTTGAGAAAAAATTACAGTTTACGTATTTAGACTGCATACATTATAGTTTAATTATAAAAATATTTATAAAACTTACCTGAAGTAAAGAAATATACACGCGTACCATCACCTCGGACATAAAAGTTATCGGATAGCATACGACCTTCTTTAAATCTTAGTTGCACCATATCATACCTACCATAATCTGTATGAAAACAAGCTCGCATTAATATTTTAAGTATTACTATTTAAATAATATGAATCTTCGCTAACAAATAATCTTATGGAATATGCATTTTTCAACTTGCTAGCAAAAATTCCTTATATTGTAGACAATAAACTCAATTAAATACCTCTAAAAAGAACCAATCCACCAGGTTTAAGCATCTAAATAATAATAATTTCGTTAATATCTTAACAAGAAACATATTAAAAATAAAATAAATATACAAAACCTTGTAAACATTTTCTACAGCCTGGCTCCAACACTGAGGATGTATAGCTGACATGACAAATATTAATACCACAATATCAAGTGAACCAGGTTCAATGTTTTCTGGTATATTTTCACTGGTCAAATCCCAAAAAAATGCATTACTTTTTTGAGGATCATATGCTGGATTATTCTATTAATAATAGAACTTGTTTGTACAAAATGGCTAAAGAAAGCTGAATGCTATTACGAATATAACCACTTTAAGATTACCTTCACAACTTCAACGGCATTGAGAGCAAAATCACAAGCATAAATAAATAATTCAGGATTCTGATTTACAGATAATAATGGAAACATTGTATTTCCGGCTCCGCATCCTATCTCAAATATCTTTTTTGGACCAACCTTTAAAAAAGAATAGCTTACAATTAATGGATAAATAAATAAAAAATATATATATATATGCTAAAATAGTAGAAATACAAACGGTTGACTTCGTAACGTCATGAAGTTCAGGGAATTCTATTTTTAACCACTGACGATCTTTAAAAAACTTGTTTTCGTTATGAAGATAAAATGTGTCCCAATATTTCGATGCATCTTGATGATATTTTTCTGCATTCATGAAGAAATTGGAAAAACAACCAATGAAGCTCATACACAAAAAATAAATTAATTAAAATAAAATTTGCGTATACGACATACGTTGTTCTTCAAGAGACATAAGTTTATTGGATTGTTTAAGAATCCTTTCTCGCGCATATCTTTCTTGTTCCTCATCCCATTCTACATTGTCCCTAGTAAATAAAGGATATCCTTATTGCGTTAAAAAAGGGGATTATGCAGTCAATATTATAATAGCAAGTTAAAATACCAAACCAGGCATTGTGTTTCCAAACGTGTTCCTTGTTTTCCAGGGTTCGAGTTCCAAAGGTCGGTGTGTCTTCACGAATATCACGAACACTAGACCAGTCTTTCTTAAGTTTCGAATGATCAGATTGTAGAGACATTACGTATTTGACAAATACTGTTTGTTACCATTACCAATATTATTAACTAAATTAAGTATATGAGTTACACATGACATCCCGTAGTACTATTACGTATAAAAGAGGTTGATGTTCAGTATTTGATTCAGGATCATCTAGAAACAGAATAAAAAGATAAAATGTCACAGCCACAAGAAGAAAAAAATTCGGAAAACAGTCCAACCACCCTATCGTATGTATATTGTTAATATTATATGCAGTAATGATCCAATGTAATTCCTTATGTGTACTTGTTTCAGTTATGAATTTAGGCAGCCACCACCACACGCCCCAATATTATATGATAGACCAAAAGCAACTACTTTGACACCAGAACAAGTTGTAATATATGAGGAATTTCCGGAAATACTGACAAAGAGGTAATTAAACACTTTACCATCAATTTGATTTAAGTTAAAATTGTGATTAATTATAAAAAATTTATTAGCAAAGAGGACCTAGAAGATCTTCTTAACAATGATATATTTTTTGAATCTTTCTTTGTGAGCATTGAACAAATCCATAACACAATAGCTGTTCAGAATGAAATGCGGATGGGAAATGAAACGTTAGCAAGTAAGCGTTTGATATATTTATTCTATACTTATTAAATTTGAATTTTAATTACGTCTCATATAATAAATTTATTCATATGTATCTGCTTTTTTGCAAATTAAAGAAGAAACTTTGTTGCAAGAAAATGAGTTAAATCAATTACGGCAGCGTGTTCAAGAACAAGAAAATGCACTCCTCGAACTAAATTCAACCCTTCAAGAAAAACTCAAACTTCAAGAAAATGCTTTACAGGTTTTTCTTTATTTATTGCGTTATCTTGTTTTAATTGATTCATATAAATCATCTAAATACATACTATACTTATTTACTAAATAGCGCTTTTCACCTTCAGTTTTGTTGACAAAACTTAAAGCCGGTGTTCAACAGTCTGATGAATTGTCTGAGCAAATGGCAAACTCATTTTTGAGTGGTGAATTGGAAACAGATCAATTTATAAAGCATTTTAGAGAAATAAGAAAAGTTTTTCATTTGAGAAATGCAAAAGTGGAAATTAGGGTTTAGACCCGGATTATAGTAAACCGGATCACCGTGTCAAAACGGTTCAGCCGGGTCAAAAATTTACAATTCTGGCCAACATGGTTGAATATGTGACCTCTAAAAATCTGTTACTATTACACAGAAAACATAAAATTTAACACATTATTATTATTGTATTGTGAAAATAAACACCTTTTTTTTCATATTAATTTATCTAAATGTTTAATCCCACTAATCTGGATTTAAAAAAAAGGTACAAACTTTCGGAGGCTACTATACAACTATATATTGCGAAATTTTGCTAAAATTTTTCCTTGTATAAGCCTTTATTATTGCTTTGCTAATATGTAATATGCTGTGTAGTACCCCGGTAATTCGTAGCGCTGGGGTTCGGGTTATGTAACGTGATTACGTGGCATGAATTGAGATCGTAAAAGTCTAATATATACGTGCGTACATTGTTACGAAAATGTCTTAATAAATTAAAATACACTTTTTCCTTTAGTAATCCTTCCGCAATTACGAAATGACTTTCTTAGTATGTAGTTAAAAGTAGACTACATTTTACATAATGATTTCTAGCTTAATAGAAAAACCATATAAAGTGTCAATAGAGAGGATACACTAACTTCACCATCGTTCCTAAGTTTATGTTTGTGACCCTGTGTTAAAATTGATGTCGGATCAAAATTTCAAAGACAATACATCCAAAATGATACAAAGCATACTACAAAAACATACTGGATCACTCGTATAACCTGAAATCGGGAAAACTGGCTGAGATCCGAACAATAAGCATAATACGATAGTATAAATACAAACCTGTGAATAATGTTCAAACCTCATAGGAAGACTTTCATATGATTGGCTGTTTAAATTAATTTAATTTTACATTACTTATACAGTTAAAAGTACTTTTTAAAAAAAATAAACCTACGAAAAATAAACAAAAAAAAGTAATATATAGAAATAATATTAAGGTTGTAGGGCTTCACTATTAAAAATAATCAAAATCTCTTTGTTTTAGAGAAGTCGGCATAATAGTGATTTTTTAAAGATAGATAGAATTGGGATATTATCAAGCTAACTTCTCTAAAACATAAAGGGATTTTGATTATTTTAATATTGGAGTCCTACAACCCTAATAAAGCTTTCTATATATATATTTTTTTGTTTATTTTTCATGGTTTTATTTTTTTAAAAAGTACTTTAAATTGATATAAACAAAGTCTTTCCATGAGTTGTAACCTGGAAGAGATTTTATGATTTCACACCAAGATCAAATATAGTATAGGTTACCTCTTTTAAAACAAAATAAAATTAGTTATTTTATATAAATAATACGTATTAACAAGCTAATTTAAAGATTATATTATAATTCAGTATTGGGTTGACCAGACCAATTCGACCATTTGATCAGACCAGTTTGACCAATGATCAGTCTGATAAAGCATCTTTGACATTGGTCAAGTTGGTCAAATAGTCTAGTTATAAGAACAACTTGACCAATTAACTATAATCAAATTTTGATTGGTCTGATTTGTTAATTTGGTTCATATTGTTAGACCATTTAACCAATTTGACCAGACCAGTTTGAACAGAAACTTTTTGATCAGTGATCAGCAAATTTATAGATTTGATCAACACTGATTATAATATATAACAATTAATTTAAATATTTTAAAGATTTTATTAAGAGTAACCTATAGTATATTTGATTTGTTGGTAATTGTTTGTGTTTTGGTCTGTTCTAGCACATTAGCTGTTGCTATGTTAAATATCTGTGTGTTTGCTAGTTGATTGTTTTCATATTTTTTTTTTTAGGTAAATTTTTTGTGTAGTTAGTAGAACAAAAATTTTATTAAGAAACCTTCTTTCTACTCTTAAATAAAAATATTTAAATTTAATTTTATATTTCATTATTATTACTTTTGGGAATGTACAGAACAAGATGGAACAGAGCTAAAAAAGCTTGGGACATAGCATTGTCTTTCACTCCAATTTGATCATTAAAAAAGAAAATCAATTTGTCCTGTAAAACTATATGCTTATAGTCTAATAATTTCTATTCGAGATTTGGGTTTATTTTTAATAATTTTTACTAAAGTTCTAAACTGAATACAAAATTGTTACCTGGTGTTAGACTGTTAGAAAATTTTAGTTAGAAATATAATTAAAGTTAGATATAGACTAGAATTCATATTTATCTAAATACATTAAATTATAATCAACATGAAGGCAATTATATAAATAGAAAGAAGAGTTACATTATGTTTTTTATAAGTTATTGTTATTTGTTATCTGCTCTTTTTCATACTTTCGAACAGCTAATGTCTCATCATGTTGTTTTTCTATCTCTCAAATAAAAGATTTTGTATTATTAATTGTTTTAGCAGATAAACTATTTACAAGTATATGATTAATATTATCATAAAGTTGGGACAGCATTGATTTATGTTTATCAACCCATTTATGGAGTCTATATAAGGCATTTTTTCACATATCCAGAATGTCTTAAAGAAAAGAGAACATACATTACCAAAATATAGTAATTGATATTTAAGATAATCTTTTTTTAGATACTTTATTATAAGAAGCAGCCATGAGTATTATTATTGACAATTTTCATTGTTTTTTATTTATTTGAAAAGATTTTAATACTAAATATTTAAAAGAACTTTTTTGCTACATTTTTTTTTACATGTACAGTTTTTTTAAGCTTATCAATTAATTCATTCTAAGCAATCTGATACTTCTTAGGAATCTGTATAATGTCTTCAGATTCCTTATCTATAAAGATATTTTCATTTGATTCTAGTTCTAATTCTTGAGAAGTATCTTCTTCATAATCATAGTCTTCATTTGTAGTATCAAGATCTGATTCATAAGATATGTAATCAAAAAAATTATTAAAATTATAAATAACAATATTAGAAAGTTTCATAATTATAATAGTAAAACAGGTTTTGTTTTATAAAATGATAGATTGTATAATGAATGTTTTATTATTTTTTTTGTAAAATAAATTTAAGATTTCAAAGGTTCTTTTATATATTTTTATAATTGATTAATTAATAACAATAGATATACTGATATTGGCCTATATTATTAATTTGACCAATCTAATCTTACTAGTAATTTAATAAATTTGACTGACATATAGGCAGATTTACAAAATTGTTTATTTTTTTGATGCTCTCCCAAATTTACATTATGTAAATTACAGGTAAGTTAGTCAATTAGTATATTTGAAATCTAATCAAATTTGATATACGATACATAATTGATTTTTAATATACAAGCTATCAATATTGAGACTTATATATATGCAGGTAATTCTACTAGAACTTTTTTAAAAATAACCAGTTAAAGAAATATATAATTACTTAGTTTTTATTTGAGCTGTTTTGAAATTTTTATAATTTTTTTTTTATAATATATAAATTTTTTAAACAGAGTTACTAATGAAAAGCAAAAGTCTTTGGTTAAAAAAAAAAAAAGAAGAGAAAAAAAACAAAAGGTTTTTTTTATTTGTAGTAAGTTAACTTTTATAAAATATATAATTTCAAAAAAATAGTATAGAAGTATAATAAGAACCAGTAAATAATTTAGTTATTATTTGCAAAATAGAAATAACCAAAAATAAAGAATGCATTTAGGTTGCATTTGAAATCTGCTAAGGATGTAAATCCTACTGAACAGAATAATTCCTGAAATCTGCTATAATGAAGTATGGACATATCAAAGATAGAAAAGGTACTTAAGTAGTGTCTGAAATCTGCTAAAAGTAACAATGTTACTAGGCAGGACAATAAGCACAACTAAAATATTTGAAATATTTGAAATTTGCTAAAAATGACAATTCTCACCATTGGTATAATCCTGGAAAAATTGCATAGGCATTGCAAAAAATATAAATAGCATTCTGCAGATTATGTTATTTAATTGGTAATAAAGCATTTCGAATCGACAAATAATTTATGAATGCTATAGATTATATTTAATAGGTAAAATTAGAAAAATGAGTTAATGGAGTGTGGCGACCTAGTGAAGTGGTCAGGTTGTCAACCCTCCAAGTGGTAGGTTGGGTGTTCAAATCCTATCGACAATGAAAATTTAAATAATCACCTATGTAATATTCGTATTACAGCAGCTGTTACTAATGATTAGGTTAGGATACCTGTAATGGCAGTCACACCAGCATGACTGGCAGGTCATGGGGCATTCATGTAACAGGTTACATGACATTGTCCTTTGGGACAAGGTTGTGGTTACATGAAGGAATGCAAACCAGCAATAGGCGGTGCAAACACTAAATAAGTCCTTGTGGCCATGTAAATCCGTTGAAATTGGGTAACAAGAAGTCCATTTGGGAAGACC